AGCAGGAAAACGTTTGTGATAAAAATACATAAAAGAGTATAGCATAGCAACTTGGGAGGCGATTGTGGGAAACAGAAAAGCAAAATCCATTGCACAAAATCTTACTCGAATCCTAAATGTCCATTTGATGCGACGCTAAGCTATATGAAAAAGCTGAATTATTTGATGTGATTACAGTTGAAAGTTGAAAGAAAACATGTAAAACCTCTGGTACAAGTAACGAGCAAGTGCTACTATACAGAAGGAAGAGTTGAGTGGAAAGAAATAATAGAAATGAAACTAAGATGGGAGGAGTTAAGAGGTACTAAACTTGGGAGACTTGTTGTGCAAGAAATCCTTGAGGACATCCATAACCGATCCAAAATCAGCCTTGACAGAAACAGGTGGGTTGGCAAATCGGCCCATATCGGGAATGGCCCCGGAGTGATAATCAATCTTAGTCTGCGCAAACTTCAAGCCATGCGCAGTGCTGACGACGACGACCCTCTCCCTGGGTCCAATAACTCCACGGTTCCTGAGCTTAATGAGCGCCGTGAGAGCCACCCCAGTATGCGGACAGATAAACATGCCAGTAGAATCGGCCTGCACCATCGCATCCATGAGCTCCTCCTCCGTCGCCTCCTCCACAATCCCATCCGAATTCCTCAGCGCATGCACCGCCCTCTCAATCGACACCGGATCCCCAATCTGAATCGCCGACGCAAAAGTGGTGTTCGCCTTCACAGCCCTAAACTCACTCCACCCACTCTTGTAGTACAAATACAAAGGGTTGGCATTCGCCGCCTGAGCGCACACCAGCCTCGGAATCCTCTCCACCAGCCCCAAATCCCTACACATCTTAAACCCTTTGTAAAACGCATAGATATTCCCCAAATTCCCCCCCGGCACTATCACCCAATCCGGTACCTCCCAATTAAACTGCTGCAGAATCTCTATCGCCGCCGTCTTCTGCCCCTCCAACCTCAAACTGTTCAACGAATTCGCCAAATATATCGGCAACTCCGCTGTTATCTCACGAATTAGCTTCATGCACCCATCAAAGTCAGTCCCAATGCTCAGAACCAGAGCCCCATTCGACACCGGCTGAATCAACTGCGCGGTCGAGATCTTGTTCGCCGGCAGGAAAACAATCGAAGGAATCCCCGCCGACGCGCAGTAAGCCGAGAGCGCCGCGGAGGTGTCTCCGGTGGAGGCGCAGCCCACCCCAACCACCGGCCGGTTCATTTTCAGGAGACGGTTGACCTGGCTGACGAGAACCGTCATGCCGAGATCCTTGAAGCTTCCGGTGTGGCTGATTCCGCAGTGCTTCACCCAGAGATCGTTCATTCCGACGAACTGCTTCCCGAATCGTTCGGCCCAGAAGAGGTTGGAGTTCCCCTCGAAGGCGCTCACGATGTCGTCGGAGTCGATCTCCGGTAGGACCCACTCCTTCTTGCTCCACACGCCGGACCCGTACGGCCACGTGGTCTTCCCCACGCGCGAGTCGAAGAGCGCCCGCCAGTACGCGCCGTCGAACTTCCCTAGGGCCTCCATGTCGTGCTGCACGTCCAGGAGCCCGCCCGAGCGGCTCCGGTACACGATTTCGTCCAGCGAGTACCACTCCGCCGAGTCCAACCCCGCGTTGAACGGCACGTACTTCGCCGTGAAGTTGTTCGCCGCCGCCGGGTGCCGCCGCGCCTCGTCTTTTATGTTCGGCGGAGACTGGGAGGATGTGCTTGACGCCACGATGGAGGCGCAGCGGTTGTTTTTCCTGTTAGGGTTTGGAACTGAATGGATTGGGAACAGCGTGGAGAAGGAAGGGTTCAACATAGACGGCATCATTTTACTAACTATAACTATTGTTGTTGTTTTGAAGGATTTGGAGAAATCCTAGAGAAGCGAAGTGAGGGATAGTGATGAAATGCGAACGAATGGTTATTGTTGATTTATCTTAGGTTGGAAAGAAAGGGTTTTGTTTCATGGATCGTACGCACGTGGAACGTGTGAAACTTTTGGTCTTGATAAACTAATGCGCTCGAGTTAAATGAGGTGAGATTATGTAAATTATTTTGTTGTTTTTTGAAAACTTGGGTTGGTTGTAGGGTAGTAGGGTAGGGTAGGAAATGGATAATTATTAATTGAGTGAGAGGCTGAGCAGTGAGCAGTGAGGAGTGAGGAGGAAAGTGATGCTGATTGTTCCTCTCATCTCACCATCCATAATTCAATTGAATGTTACTTGCCAACATTTTTACTATTTATTTTTCCTGTTCTTGGTTTTGGACAGCATGGAATCAGATCAGGTTCACTGGACGGTGGCAAGAAGCTTGAGTGAGCAACCATGGTTCCATGGTTCCAGGTTCCAGGTTCCTATTCCTAGTCCTCTTTAGACAGATACTTCATCAAACTTATCTTGTGCTTTTTTCGCAGTGCCTTTGTCACGGCTTTCATGTTACATATATTTTTATCAAACATTCATTCTCATAATTACACACTCAAAGATCTATTTTTATCACTTTGGAAGACATGTTTCACATTCTAATTTTATAAACTACTTGAAAAATTTTCTTAAATTGTGTTTTGGATAAAGAAACTTAAACGTTGATATATTTGAAATTTTAATTATTTTGATGGGATAATTTAAGTTTCTTAAATTTCAAAAACTTAATTTTCACTAAATACAAAAAAAAAAAACATAACATAACATTCAAGTGTTACTCATTAATTAAATGTTTTAAATATTTTTTATTACTCTCACATGAATGGTAATCTATCATCTAATATTTATATTTTTGCACTTTGTCTTCAAAAGGGGATGTTCATTCTAAGTTTCAAACATTTGCTAACTTAAGTATCAAAGTTCTTTTTGCATGTACAACCACCGAGACTTTCAAAAACTTTGAATGAACACTTTTTTCTACAAGTACACCAATAGACTTTTATTAAGTAAAAAAAAAAACTTTAATTAAATACTAATAAATTTTGACATACTCCTAAAAAAATTATAATTATTTTAATTGACTACTAAATTACTTTTTATATTAAAAAATCCTAATTAAATATCACTAGGTCTTTTATAATAAAAGAGTCTTTTAAAATATTACTTTAGAAAAATAGATTTTAAATATTTTTAAAATAAAATAGCATAAATTTGTTTGATAGATTTGTTTTATTCTTTTTTCTTCTAAAGCTACATGTAAAAGAATTTAACTAAATAGATATAAAAGATGATAAATAAAACTTAAGAAAATTGTAAGACATGAAAAAATTGACTTGATGGTCTAATCAATTTCTATTAGTATTTGTTTCGATATGTTTAAAAATTTTAGAATCAATGTTAAGGACAACTTATAAATATAATTTCCCCTCAACTTAACTTTTCAAGGATAAAACCATGACAATTCAATGAATGTCAAAGTAGACAATACCTCAAATGCGGTGATCCTAGCAATGTTAACGAACTTACGATTGAAACATTGGCGCTAAAAGAAGGGTCCAGGCTTCTTTTGCCTCTTAGCATCGACTAGAAACTTGTTTTGGTATGCATACAAGTCTCACATCGTTTAAGAGTCGAGACTAAGGGTATTTTATAATCGTCACATCTCTTTAACCCACCAAAGCATTTTTTAAGGACAAAATCGTGATAGTGTAAAGAGTACCAAAACGAACAATAAATGTGATGATCCTAACAATGTCAAGGGACTTATGGTCAAAGCATTGACACTAGAAGGAAGGCGCAAGTCACTCTTGTCCCTTAGCCTCAATTGGGGACTTGTTCCAATATGCTTAAATGTTTTACATTACTTAGGAATCGAAGTCAAAAGTAGTTTATAAACACCACCTTCCTTAACTCCCTAATGTACCTTTTAAAGAACAAAATTGTATCAGCTCAACGAGCGCAACAAACAATACGTCAAGCACAATTACCCAAATAATGCCAACAAACTTATTATCGAAAAGTGTTAAAATAATACTAACTCAACAAAAAATATGTCCAACAAATAAAGATTAATCTTTAATTACTATAACATTATACCTAGGTTGAGTTAGGTGAATATAAAAGTCTTTAACTAGAAGTTTAGTTGACCGTGATGGGAGACGATATATAAGGTTTCTTTTGAAAATTAAGTCTTGTAAACTCAAATTCTCATAGACCTTAAAGAGAAGGTAGAGTGAGAAACTCTATAGTCTTGATACTTCTTATCTTCTTTTTAGATTCCCTAGAGACGTAAGAAGTTTTTGTTGATCCTTAGAATAGTGATGCAGTAGGAGCTAAGGATTTGGTGTAGGTGTGGAATTTCTCAAAGTTCTTCTCTCCCTCTTTTTTATTTCTTCATCTTGGTGGTTAGAATTTAAGATAAGGGAAGTTAGGAAATGTTTTAATGAATGTTGGCTTAAATGCATTGAATGGATTATGAATTGCACGCATTTATGAAATAAGCGTGATCAAGATATAAATTTCTTATTAATTAAACTTTTATAATTCTAATAGATTAATATCCATTGTTAATGATGATTTCATGAAGTATAATCACCATATGGATGACGGATGGTTGCATGTTAATATTAATAGTTTTGATACATTAAGTTTAGCATGTCACCCCAAAAGTTCAAAACAATTAATCAAGCCGAAGAACCTAGATTGACTTGGATACTTTATTTATCTTATGGGGCATACAGGTAAAAGGGAAAAATAAAGGTCTTCTAGGTAGGAGACACAACCATGTGATCTAATCGAGAGGCTACGAATTTGCACTTTGCCAACGGTTTCTTTCGTAGCTGTGAAGGGTTTAAAAACGTGCTTCTAATCTATCTATAACTATAAATGGAAGTTTTCTTGTTTTTACGGCTTATAATTTTAATTATTAAATATAATTTATTGTGTGGTTTTTCTTTTTTTTTTTTCCCGCAATTTCTTGTCATAAACATAGACGATGTGGAGTTTTTTTTTTTAAATAAATAAATATATATAATATATATAACAAAATTTTAATATATAATTTTATACAAATTACTTAAAAAATTTATTATTAGATCACCTTTAACGAGTTTGAGTTCTTTTTCCTTTTTTTTTTTTTTGTAATTTAGTGTATTAAACATAAAATTTTAATTTTCTCTAGTATAAAAAATATTTTAAATGTTTAATATTGTAATTTTTATTTATTAGTTTTGAAAAAAATAATATTTGGAACAATGTATGATGGTATAATTAAATATGTTAATAAATTAATTATAACTTGTATTTTAGTATGTATATTATACAGTGTGAATATTTGTTTTTATATAATTAAAATTCATATAAACTCTTCTTATATTTGTTTTAATAAGTTATTCTTTTATGAAAGTATTTTTAAAGATTTTTTTGAACTTCTTATCTAATTTATTATTTTGTTATTTATGAATTAAATTTTAATATTTTAAAATAACTTATCAATAGATAAAATAATTTTGCACTATAATATAAAATATTTATCTTCAATATAATTTTTTATATGTTAAAAAAATTTATTTATACAAATTTTAGGTATTATTTATATATGTTTAACTATATTATTTAGTTATATATAATTTAATATAAATTTTAGTTATAATTGATAAACATCTACCTGTAAAATATGCACACTAAAATGGTTATTATATATATATATATATATATATATATATAATTAAATTGACCAGAGCATTGGTAGTTATTTTTAAAAGAGAACACTTTTAGAAATTTTTAACATTTTCTTAATCTCTTGCCTCTTTTGATTTTTCATTTCATATTTAATTTTAATTGAATTTCAATATTTTTTAAAATATCAATAATTAAAAATAACATTTACCACAATATAAGATATTTAGGCTTAAACAACTTTTTAGTTCCTAAAAAATAGAGTTTTTTTATTTTTCATCCTTTTAAAAAATAATTTTGTCCTTAAAAAAATTTGTTTTATTTCAGTTTTTTCCATCACATTGGATGTTAAACCTAACCGTAAAAATTACACGACCAAAATAAGAAAAAATAGAAAAGTATAGAGAGAAAAAAAAGACCAAATTGAAAATAACGAAACTTAAGAGAATCAAAAGGAAAGTAACCTTATTTTATAAGTTTAAATACAATAAATTTATAGTGCTAACATTATAAAAATTAAATATTTAAATACAATGAATACACTAATATAAAGCAAAAGAATTAAACATATAACAACTACATTATTTGGCGGAAAAAAAAAACTAGATTATAAAAGAAAATAATTAGAAGAATTAAAAACACAATTTTGTAAAAATCATATAATGATATAATCACTCCTACAATATATAAAAAGTAAATATAACAAATGAGTAAAAAAAACTGAACACAAAATAAGAGAAATATGACGAAACAAAAAATAATAAAGAAAATAGAGAAAAAATGCATGACATTACACTAACACTCTTTGATAGTATTATATTTTTTTTTCTTTATATATATATATATATATATATATATATATATTATTTTGTTTTTGAGACTCCAATTTCAACATTTTTATTTTTTTTTTTATAATAACATCAACAAAGTTCAAATATATAATATCATTGTACATTGTACTTCAATCTCTACCATTATAAATTCATAACAATTATATTAAATACTTTTGATAACTATATGTTAAAATTGAAATAAAATTTGTGATTAACTTATAAACAATCATCGGTCATTTAATCGCAGAAGAATATTTATTTATTTATTTATTTTACCACTATATTTATTATTCTTTGAAAAAAATGATACTTTTCATTATACATTGCATGCAATGTATATTATTTTCATTTCGTTTGTTTTCTCCAATACACAAAAATAGAAAAAAAAAATGGAGAATTACCATGGCCAAATCTAAGTTTTTAATTTCGGTTAGTACTGTTTCTAGTCTTTAAAAAAATTTAAATTTTGATTGTTGTTGATGACTTTAAAATATTAATTTTATTTTTTATTTTAAAATACTTAAACTTTGTTAAATACACAGAAAGAAAATAAGTTAATTTTAAGAAGT